AGGGGCAAATGTATGAATTTATGGTTGGATCAGAATTGCTGTTATAATCATTGGCCAGTATGGAGAATTAACTAAAACCACAAGTCCAAATCCCTATCTTCATCCATGGCTAATTTAGGAAAGGGACGATTTTAGCTAGCTAGCCACCGGAGGACGACACTAGGAGATGCAACAATTCAAGTTCTGTCAATGACGTTTGGCTTCTAATGTGATTGGTGTGAAGCCAAATCCAAACCGGCTTCCCTTAAGACTTTTTTTGGTGCACCAGGACCATTCACAGCTGAGCTCACTCAGTTTAGTGCAACGCTGACTGGCTATTATTTAAAAATATATAAAGGGAGGCCAAATGCTCGCTGGCTTCCCTTGCATTCAGTTACTATGAGTGGCAACAATGTCATACGCTTTTTGACCAGACAGCACAGATGTGCAAAGTGAAAAGCATATCAACATGTCAAGCATTCCCACCCCTTTCCTTTCCACAGTGAAGTATAAAATGCTGTGACCTTATGCATGATTTTTATTGTATGGCATTTGAAGAAACTTGGAGACACAAGCCAAATGGGTAGGGCCCAGAGCATGTGATGATAATGGAAGCAATAAAAAAGACAGTCTGACCAAATTTGACCTTTGGGCGCTCTCAAATGTTTTATTTATATGCCCTGACTTTCTCTGTAACCTACTATTTAATCATGTCAAATATTAGCCTCTATCAGTATCGACTGTCAGTAATAACCATACATATTTAACTGCCAATTTGGTTGGAATAATACTGTGAAATTGTACAAATTATGATAATGCCCTTTTAGTGAAAAGGCTGCCTGAAATTTCTACCTGTTTTGGCCTGCCTGGTGACATCACCAGGCGGTAAATTCGTTAATAGACCAATAAGAGAGAGTTCCAAACCTCTCTGCCAATAAACGCTAGTTCAGTTTTCCCGTCCCCACTCAGAACACTCCCAGACAGTCCTAGCAAAGTTCTTGCTTGAGAAATTGCTCTTTGCTAAGAAGCTATTTTTCTTTATTTTTGACCATTTTCATTGAAAACAATCACAGTAAGGTACTTAATTGTTACCCAGAAATTATTTGATATCAAGATAAAACATGGCTGCATTAGACCTGATGTATGGTGCAACACTTGGTGTGTCATCACACAGTTCCATGGTCAGTGCAGGCAAAGCGCCATGGTACACTATTCTCCCTATTATAATTCTATGTACACTAATCTTCCAATATTACCATGGGTTGAAGAACTGAATGTGGCAATTTTCAGAATAAATTCAACCACCGTTTTATTTAATGTTATGCTCCATAGGCTACATTCTAATGTTGTGCCGATCTAATTCAAATTAAAAGGGATTGTTTTAGATAAATGAACAGAAAAACTAATTGAAGAAAAACTCCCTGATCAAATTGGGAGGCCACCCAGTGGGTGTGTTTTCTGGGATTTGATCAAATGTATTCAGTGTGTGCAAGGGAGCCACACCCGCAAACCTTGTTACGCACGTGCATAGGGTCAGGTGCATAGGGTCAGGTGCATAGGGTAAGTCTGACTACCAAATACGAGAAGTGCTTAAATCAAAATGTGTAAACAGGCATACATTTCCTGTCTGAATCGGACCCTATGTGCTGGGGTTTAATTGTTCCTGCATTTGCGGAGACTGCATTCATGGTAAACACTACATATGTCGACTTAATCGGAAAATACCTTTAGAATTGCTAACCTAACCTCAATCCTTACCCTAGCTTCAAGTCCACATCACGGTTCAACTCTTACCCTCAACCCTATCTATCTTCAAGTCCACATCATGGTTCAACCCTAACATCAACCACAATCCTATCTTCAAGACCACATCACGGTTCAACCCTAACCCTAGCTGCCCGCAACCCTAATTTTGGCATAACCGTAACCTTGGTTTATCTTATTTTTATTTTAGGACCCGTAAGGTGCTGAAGCTCAGCTCTGCCTGGCTCTCCCTTTAACAAGGTGCAGGAGTCTGGGTAGCCGGCTCAATTTAACCACTGCATATGTGAAGGGAAAGGGAATAGCTAGTCAGTTGCACAACTGAATGCATTTAACCCAACCCCCCTGAATCAGAGGTGCAGGGGGTTGCCTTAATCTACATCCATGTGGCCCGCAGAGCAGTTGTTGTTAGGGGTTAACTGCCTTGCTCAAGGGGCAGAACGGCAGATTTTTCCACCTTGCCGGCTCGGGGATTCGAACCAGCAACATTTTGGTTACTGGCCCAACGCTGTTAACCACTAGGCTACCTACCTGTGTTTCTGTGAGGGGGATGCACTGATTTATTTTGTTTTATCTGACAGGTATACTCATCTAAGCTCAAATTGAGTTCACTCTCCTATTTCAATAGAACGTTCACTGCAATTAGATATTCTGCCAGAGCTTGTGTTGAGCACCCGGGCCATTTCTACTCTACTACACAGTGAAATCAGTCATCATGACTTTTGCACTTCACCCCTATGGACAAACATATTAGAAAAAAGTACGAAAGACCATGTAAATCCATGCTAGCTGGCTGGGAGAAACATTTAGAAAAGAGTAAAAAGGACACTGCTTTGTTTGGCCAAAGAGGGTCATCCATCATAATTATAATTAGAAAGTGTCACCTCACCTTTCTGCCCGATCAGCGGCTGATTAAATATTCTCTGGCTGCAGCCAATAATTGAATTGTGTGTGTGTATGTGCGAGCATGTGTGTGTAAAACCCAAAGGGCTGCTGGGAAAAGCTAAATTAATTACGCACAGGTCTGGCGCCACTAATGAGCGAGCCATGACTAGCTGCTTATTTATTCACATTGTGTTGTTGGGCAAGGTTCACCATTCTCTGGCAGAAAAGCTGTTGGAACTGTAGTCACTACTAGTCAGACATTAGCTGGTTATATTCATGAAAACCTATCCACCTGTCAATCATTGGGCAGGTGATTAGTCTGGTCTTTTACCTGTATGTAAACTACATAAACATGGACTATGGGCTGGATAAAATCCGTATCGCAGAAGATCTGTGTTAAAATGCCGACATAGCCTATTCAGTGTTTACCGTGAATGCAGTCTCTGCGAACAGTGCCTTTAATATTTACACCGAGCTATAAACGCGTATCTTCCGTGATACGGATTGAATCCAGCCCTTCCAGCATTGATCATTAGCTCAGATATAATGAGGTTTAGGGGATGGATTCAATCCGTATAGCTGAAGTTCCGCCGTATAGCGTGATTGAAATGTAGGGCTGGATTCAATCCATAGCACCGAAGATCAGCGTTGTAGCGGGGTATACATTTTAAGATCATTTTCGATTGAGCAGACAAGCAGTCTCTGCGGATACATTGCCTTTACATTTCAAATCACGCCATAATGCTGATCTTCAGCGCTACAGATTGAATCCAACCCTTAAAGGCGTTTGCGGAGACTGCATTCACGGTAAACGCTGCATGTCGGCTCAATCAGAAATTACCTTTACATTTAAATTGTGCTATACCACAGAACTTCCGCAATATCGATTGAGTCGAGCCCTAAGTGCTCAAATACTGTGTTTTACCTGTGGTGAAGGAATCAAGGACACATAAACCAACAGAGTAAAAAATAAGACAATTTATTTTCAGTTCCCAAAAGTAGTCAAGTTAAAAATTATATTCGCAAGCCATGGGCTGGTGTTACCAGAGCCTAATTTCACATCACAAAACAGAATCACTGACCACCAACAAGACAAGATAATGGTCTGTACAAAACTATACAAAGTCAATCTAGTACACAAATGACTTCAGAATCAAGTCCAACGCTTGGCACTTGCTGAACCACCTTGCTAAACCTGACTACTGTCTCATGTGCAGGACATATCAGTCTGGTGAAGAGACAGGTAAGACAGGGTTTCCCAAACTCGGTCCTGGGGCCCCCCTCGTGTGCACATTTTGGATTTTGCCCTAGCACTACACAGCTAATTAAAATAACCAACTAATCATTAAGATTAGATTATTTGAATCAGCTGTGTTGTGCTAGGGAAATAACCAAAATGTGCACCCGGGGGGGCCCAGGACCGAGTTTGGGAAACCCTGATCGAAGAGACGTGCCACAGTTACTCACACACACATACACACATATCAACTCCAACCATGGCCCCTGTAAAATACATTTCTGGGATCATTCACCCACTTGACTTGGAGAGGGGAATCTCAAGATAGAATTGGTGGGCATTTTCAACACAAGGACCATGAGAGGCTGAGGCCGTCATGAGTTTCATCCAGGTTCTGACATTCATATGTATACGGAGAGAAGCTGAGGAATATTACAGTGCTCTAGAGGGCTAATGGGGTTAGGAAAAGCTCAATTGCTAAAGCTTGTCCTCCAAACAGTTTGCATGAAGGGTACGTGTTAAGGTAGCTACAGATATAAGGTCTGAGACACTCATGCCACAAGCACAGTTTGGATAATGCTTCAGTCAGTGAAGGGGTACTTCACCATGGCACAGGCCATTTGCTACACACGACATACAAATGATAGAGGTCAGCCAGTTGTACAATGTGAAAATGATCTCTTGAAGGAGATTTGAGAGGGACATGATGAAATTGAAAAAGAATAAAACATTTCAGTCAGAATTCATGGACACATGACACAGTCCTACTTCTACCTCCTCTCTCTACTCACACTGAATGACATATAGCCCAATGAACACACTATGGGATCAGGCTAGTTTGAACCATCTGTCCACTTATGATTCTGACAGCACAATGCAGCACTACTTGAACACTACTGATGGGGGGGGGGGGGATCTATACAGTTACTTATCGGGATTTTATTTGACGATATATCGTATCATTTTGACAATATCACAATATTTTTGCGCTAGTTGGCTGTACCTGCACCAAAACATCAATATTTTCCTTCATAGCTTGTTCTCCATCTTCTTAAATAGGGAGCCTGAATAGGGTATTTGTATTCAGCACTTTTATTTGCCTGACTGATCTCATGGCTCTCGCTTGTCCCTCTGCAGCAGATATATGGTGAGCAATATGTTTGGAACATCGACTCGCAATAAAATCACAGTATCGAATCGCAATACATGTAGAATCGTGAGAATCGCAATACATTTCGTATCGGCACCAAAGTATCATGCTAATATCGTGTCGTGAGGTCCCTGGCAATTCCCAGCCCTATTGAACACAGTTTATATTGATCGGGGGAGACTACCATCAAGAAAACAGCCCCTTGTAGGGTACAGTAGGAGATGGAACAACTAAACATTTCCTGCTTGGACACTGTAGCCAGTGAAGGATTATGATAAAGGCTTAGACAGATTTTCAAGGTATATCAAATACCCTTTAAAGATGATACATTTTCAATGATGTTCCATCATTGTGTATTTTTTTTTAAACTATCACAGAAATAGAAAATACTGCATTCTAACGGCCGTATATCTCTCTGCACGTAAAAATGGAGGGATGCTATGTGGATTTGCTGACGGAAAAGGTCTGTTGTGGGAGCCTCATGCCTTATACAAGTTCTACCTCTGCTGGCCTCTGTCTGAACTGCGGCTGGTTCCGGACAATAGGAGGGGACAGTGTTCCAAGCCCTCTCAGCAAGGCTCATCCAGTGATGGTATGGTACATATACAGGTGATATTTAGTGGTGAGTTCAAGTGTTTAAGTCTTAACAGAGGAGATCTAGAGCCCAAAACGAGCTGGGGTGCGCTTTGGGGTCATGGGTGCCTCCTCCTTCCTTCCCGGGGTGCAGATTTTCACAGCCCTATCGAGACAAAATAATAAACAATTGGCAATGACAGAAGAGAATAAGAAAACACTTGCCATGCCAAAACATAATGGTTGTTTCTATGTTCATTGTCAGAGTATTTGACTCAGTGAAATAGTAGTAGGCTAGTAGAGGGGGACAGGCAGGTAGAGAGGGACAGGCAGGTAGAGAGGGACAGGCTGGTAGAGAGGGACAGGCAGGTAGAGAGGGACAGGCAGGTAGAGAGGGACAGGCAGGTAGAGAGGGACAGGCAGGTAGAGAGGGACAGGCAGGTAGAGAGGGACAGGCTGGTAGAGAGGGACAGGCTGGTAGAGAGGGACAGGCAGGTAGAGGGACAGGCAGGTAGAGGGACAGGCTGTTAGAGGGACAGGCTGTTAGAGGGACAGGCTGGTAGAGAGGGACAGGCTGGTAGAGAGGGACAGGCTGGTAGAGAGGGACAGGCTGGTAGAGAGGGACAGGCTGGTAGAGAGGGACAGGCTGGTAGAGAGGGACAGGCTGGTAGAGAGGGACAGGCAGGTAGAGAGGGACAGGCAGGTAGAGAGGGACAGGCTGGTAGAGAGGGACAGGCAGGTAGAGAGGGACAGGCAGGTAGAGAGGGACAGGCAGGTAGAGAGGGACAGGCTGGTAGAGAGGGACAGGCTGGTAGAGAGGGACAAGCAAAATCTATAATATTTCATTACAGCAGCGCGACACCCTGACACTACCCAGCATTCTCTCCTCAGTCCTCACACACACCAGCAGCAGCCATCAGGCCATAACCCAGTACTTCCCTTCCTCCCTCGGAACAAAACGTGTAGTAAAAGTGTTTCATGGGGGCCCCTCAGCACGGTGAAGGGATGCTTGTTTCACAGGCAGGCGGACAAAAGCAGCTGAGAGCCCACGAGAGAAGGCCATGTTCATTATCATACTTCTGAGGTGCTCGCTCTCTAATCTAATTCTTAATCCTCCGCGTTTTAATATGATTATTTTGGAGACTGACAGATTCACAAAGACGCTGATATAGCAATAAACCTGCTGATTAATTAACAATAAAAGTGTTCTTTTTTTCCTCCCAAACCCATTTCTCTTTTGTGAGCCTTGTGGAACGGGTGCGAAATAAAAAAAATGTCCTTTCTCATTTGAAAATTAACGCTGGCTCCTTTCTCCCCTCTGCTGTGGCACCATTTAAATTGCAGCAGTAATGGGGGTCAGCCAGGAGTCAATATTATTTATTTTTGTCTCATCTGGAGGGACTGGAGGTAAGAAAAGCTCATCATGGAAAGTGAGAGAGGTAGAAAAGACAGAGAGGATAAGAGAGAAGGAGAGGCAGAGAGATTTAGGGAGAGATGGGTAGAGAAGCAGCTAAATTAATCAGCTTCTACGACTCGGAAGGGGTCCATTCTGGAAAACAAACATTCTTTCCCATTTACCCCCATTGTAAAAGAGCAAACTTTGTAGTTTGCTGTATTGTTCAATGTTCATATAACCAGGTCAAAAATCCCGACCTACGGTTCGCAATGATCCCACATAGGGAAATAGAGCCTGCGAGAAGAGCCCTGTGCCTTCAAACTATTCAGCATTGGAGAGTGGGAAATGTAGGGACACGGTGTCCAAGTAGGCTACACGTAGCTATGTGTGTGGATAAAATTTTAATCACAGGTAACTCGTTTAGTACAGTCCGTTTGTAACTCCACTCACTACTTGTAGCTTTATAGTGTGTTGTTGGTCTTGGCTAGCTTAATGTTCTGGTTGGTAGCTAGCTAGCACTCATGTGGCTAACGTTAGCGCCGTCATGAAAAGTTCAATATTCAATATTACGTTTTTCTAAGTAGTGAGAACGCATGGGAGCAGGCAATGTTGAAAAGTAATCTTTAGACATGTACTTTTCTTAAATTTAGTTTTTAAATTGACTAAAACAAGCAGACAACAAGAAAATTGCGTTTGAAAAAGTTCAAGGTTTCGCTGTTAGCCAATTGGGTAACCAAGGTAACCACAGGTTATTTTCCCCACAGGTGGGCGGGGCCCGACACTCTATTTAACACCAACTGGGACTATTGTCAGAGTGAAACCTCTCTGTGAAGAATAGATGAAGGTAGATGAGTGTATACCTGACGCTGCCCACGTTACTCTTCCTGTCCTGATCCTCTCTCCTGCTCCTCAGTTGCTGCTCCGCCAAAGACATCTCCTCCTCCATGTTAGTGATCTCCTCCTTGGCCCGCCGCCGGTTCTCCTGCACAGAGAGAGAGAGAGGAACAGAGGGGTGAGAGGAGAGAAAGGGACAGAGGGAGGAGGAATAATCCCTGAGACGTTAGGAGGGAGGTAGTAGGGGGTTGAGTAACAAGAGCTTACCATCCTGCTCTTCCCTGCCTGTTTGACGCTGTAGAACATGGGCCCCAGCTCAGCCAGCCACTCCCCATCCACCGCAGTCACACACTGCATGTACTCCTACAGTAGGGACACAGGTTACTACACATTATAACACAGCTAGAAGAATAATGTACACTGCTCAAAAAAATTAAGGGAACACTAAAATAACACATCCTAGATCTGAATGAATGAAATAATCTTATGAAATACTTTTTTCTTTACATAGTTGAATGTGCTGACAACAAAATCACACAAAAATTATCAATGGAAATCAAATTTATCAACCCATGGAGGTCTGGATTTGGAGTCACCCTCAAAATTAAAGTGGAAAACCACACTACAGGCTGATCCAACTTTGATGTAATGTCCTTAAAACAAGTCAAAATGAGGCTCAGTAGTGTGTGTGGCCTCCACGTGACTGTATGACCTCCCTACAACGCATGGGCATGCTCCTGATGAGGTGGCGGATGGTCTCCTGAGGGATCTCCTCCCAGACCTGGACTAAAGCATCCGCCAACTCCTGGACAGTCTGTGGTGCAACGTGGCGTTGGTGGATGGAGCGAGACATGATGTCCCAGATGTGCTCAATTGGATTCAGGTCTGGGGAACGGGCGGGCCAGTCCATAGCATAAATGCCTTCCTCTTGCAGGAACTGCTGACACACTCCAGCCACATGAGGTCTAGCATTGTCTTGCATTAGGAGGAACCCAGGGCCAACCGCACCAGCATATGGTCTCACAAGGGGTCTGAGGATCTCATCTCGGTACCTAATGGCAGTCAGGCTACCTCTGGCGAGCACATGGAGGGCTGTGCAGCCCCCCAAAGAAATGCCACCCCACACCATGATTGACCCACCGCCAAACCGGTCATGCTGGAGGATGTTGCAGGCAGCAGAACGTTCTCCACGGCGTCTCCAGACTCTGTCACGTCTGTCACATGTGCTCAGTGTGAACCTGCCTTCATCTGTGAAGAGCACAGGGCGCCAGTGGCGAATTTGCCAATCTTGGTGTTCTCTGGCAAATGCCAAACGTCCTGCACGGTGTTGGGCTGTAAGCACAACCCCCACCTGTGGACGTCGGGCCCTCATACCACCCTCATGGAGTCTGTTTCTGACCGTTTGAGCAGACACATGCACATTTGTGGCCTGCTGGAGGTCATTTTGCAGGGCTCTGGCAGTGCTCCTCCTGCTCCTCCTTGCACAAAGGCAGAGGTAGCAGTCCTGCTGCTGGGTTGTTGCCCTCCTACGGCCTCCTCCACGTCTCCTGATGTACTGGCCTGTCTCCTGGTAGCGCCTCCATGCTCTGGACACTACGCTGACAGACACAGCAAACCTTCTTGCCACAGCTCGCATTGATGTGCCATCCTGGATGAGCTGCACTACCTGAGCCACTTGTGTGGGTTGTAGACTCCGTCTCATGCTACCACTAGAGTGAAAGCACCGCCAGCATTCAAAAGTGACCAAAACATCAGCCAGGAAGCATAGGAACTGAGAAGTGGTCTGTGGTCACCACCTGCAAAACCAGTCCTTTATTGGGAGTGTCTTGCTAATTGCCTATAATTTCCACCTGTGGTCTATTCCATTTGCACAACAGCATGTGAAATGTATTGTCAATCAGTGTTGCTTCCTAAGTGGACAGTTTGATTTCACAGAAATGTGATCGACTTGGAGTTACATTGTGTTGTTTAAGTGTTCCCTTTATTTTTTTGAGCAGTGTATATGACAGCTCTTTCTGGTAGAACATCTTCAGCTCTGAACAGTACAGATCATAGGTTAGCAGCATGTGGGTATATGTATAGCTGTGTGGAGGTTGGGTCTCTTACCTTGGTGGTCATGACCAGCTCGTGGTAGGTGATGTAGTCGGGGGTGTAGCCCATGCCAAACAGAGAGCTGGTGGGGTGGAGGTGGCAGGGCATGCCTGTCCTCACGTTGACATACTCCCCTATTCCCTTCAGCTTGGCTGCCTGGTGGAAGTAGGCAGCACAGATACACTTCCTGATGATGTCCCAGTCTGAGCCACAGGACACCAGGTTCATCCTCTGCTGCACCATGATGTCTTTGAGCTGGGAGCGCACCTCACGCACCTAAAACACCCACACACAGAGACACGTTAGCTACTGGAGAACTAACAGAAGAGGACATTTATTCAATACACATTGCTCAATGTGTGGATATTTTGATGTAGAGTGGTAATCAAGTGCATTTCGATCCTAAGATAGGGAGACTGGACAGAGAGGGTAAAGGAGAGGGGCGTTGACTGACCTTGCGCATGGCCTTGGTGTGGATGAAGTGTTCGTTGCACCAGATACTGGAGTAGTTGTTGTTCTTCCACTGTAAGTAGACATTCAGGTAGGTCAGGTGGTCACTCTCTGGGACCGAGAACTTCTCCCTCACCTGGTCACTCTCCTCCTCGCGACCCTGGAAAGGTCGGGACACAGGGGAAATACAGGGGTCACACAACTGTCCAGTGTGTAATGTGAATAATTCTTAACAGAAACATAAACAAACATTAGGAACATATTAAGACATGAATTGGTTGGCGATCTCAATGACATCTACCTTAGGCCTGTAGAAGATGGCCGGTACAGACAGCATGGAAACGATGATGAGGATGTCAGCACTGCAGCCCATGTCACATGATACGATCAGCATCTTGGACAGAGCCGGGTCCAGAGGGAACTCCACCATCAGCCTCCCAGTGGGCGTCAGGGCACCTGAGGGGAACACAAATCATTTACGCACTTCCTGTCTACAGACAGAGGAGAGGGGGAACACAATACAGGTGACATCCGCCAGTGAAGGATGGTTGTAAAAAAATATTGAAATCAAACTTTGCCAGCTCTGATTTAAATGATTACATGACAGACTATAAGGAGCTTAGAGGGAAAGTGCAGAGGCAGAACAGGCTGTGTTTGCCAGGTAAACCTTAATCAGAGATAATCTGCCGTTAACACACCACACAGGCAAACGTCAAAAGTCCTCCAGAGACACCAAATCCCCTAATCCCCAGAGATCTGGCTCAGATGAGACAGAGATGAGAGTCAGCCAGTCAAATCTAACAGAGGATAAAGCACTATGCAATTACTCCACTACCTACATCACAGTGCTACCTAGCTCTGTACTTTACAGGGTGCAGTGCATGTACATACTATTACAGCAACCTATTGCCTAGTTTCATCATCCAAGTCTCTCCTCGCAGCACATTAAGTAGTTATTGTTAAATCTGTTGGCTATATTGCTGGTGGGGAACACATACTTATTCCACCCTATTTTAACCTTGTTTTCTGAGATCAATTTATACATTTGGAGGCCTAATCTTGACTGATGTGGTCCAGGCCAGGCCAGGGCAGAGACCCACCTGTGTTGTCCAGGGCCCCCAGGATCCAGAGCTGGTACATGGAGTTGAGCATGTTGTCCTCAGGCGGGGGGTCCATGAAGTGGAAGAGCAGCAGATCCTGGACCCCCAGGGATTTAAGCAGCAGCACCACGTTGGCCAGGTTGGTCCGCTGGATCTCTGGAATGGTGGTGGTCAACATCTCATTCTTGAAGGCGCTCTGGGTGTAAAGCCTGGATGGACAGAGAGAGGGAGAGATGGACTGACAATGAGAGGGGGGAGCTTATTGAATAATCTAGCAGACACATTTTTCTAAACGCACAAATGCTCCATAGAGTGACAGGTCTGGAGATGCTGCCTTCACCACCTGGTTAAACCCGCTCTGCATGGCACTGATATGATTTCACACAGTGCTCTAAACCTGCAACAATGGCACCGTGATTGAGAAGCCTCCGTTCCATGAAAGCTGAACGCTCCCCAACTGATGTTTAGAGAAGGGCAAAGAGACAGGCCTACTGCACATTATAAACATTTAACCAAGCTACTTATGAGGCATTTACTATCCAAACTATTTAGAGCAGCTCCCATTGCTGCTTCAGACTGATAGGTCTGGCCTAACAAAGCATCTCTCAACCATTTCAGTTAGTGGCTAATCCCTCTGAAATCTGTGCATTATGAGGGAATGATCTGTGTGTGGGTTTACGCCAGGTTGTGAGAATGTGTTTCAAATCAAATCAAATTTTATTGGTCACATGCGCCGAATACAACAGGTGCAGACATTACAGTGAAATGCTTACTTACAGCCCTTAACCAACAGTGCATTTATTTTAAACAAAAAAGTAAGAATAAAACAACAAAAAAGTGTTGAGAAAAAAAGAGCAGAAGTAAAAAATAAAGTGACAGTAGGGAGGCTTATATACAATAGAATAAAGTGACAGTAGGGAGGCTATATATACAGGGGGGTACCGTTGCATAGTCAATGTGCGGGGGCACCGGCTAGTTGAGGTAATATGTACATGTGGGTAGAGTTAAAGTGACTATGCATAAATACTTAACAGAGTAGCAGCAGCGTAAAAGGGATGGGGTGGGGGGGCAGTGCAAATAGTCCGGGTAGCCATGATTAACTGGTGCTGGGTGTAGTTACAGCTAAGAGGTGCTTTGAGTAGCAGATTCTTCACACAAGTCGAGTCACCCAGCACGTCACCTCCCACCCCTCCAAACGCCTAGGCCCCACTCATTCTAAAGCTCCACTCCCAAATTGATTCTTCACATCTGTGTGTGTGTGGGGAGGGGGGTAATCTTGGTAGAGGGGCTTTTAGAAGCATCCCAGCTCATTTTCAAGGCAAAACAATCACGTGGTGTGTGTGTGTGTCACCATCTCCCTCAACTTGGGGAAGTATGAGAGATAGGAGAAAGGTCATGTGAAATCTCAGAGAGAAGGGGCTTTTGTGTCACATTTTCCCTGCTGTAAACAGAGTTAAACTGCATGAAATCCTGTGGAGATTAGGATTCTCCCTCCCTCTCTTCCACCCAGCCTCTGATGGTTTTGAAAGCAGCCCGGCCTCCTTGCAGATCAGAGGCCTGGACGGCCCATCTGAGGGGAGCTCTGATGTGCATCAGCCAGAGGACGAAACACCGGCGGCGGCATTACACACAACAACAACACTTCAGATACACACCCGTTTCAGCACGGCTCACCATACAAAAGGATGCTAATGTTGTTAGCTGCTTTTCTACCTTTTTGGTGGAGAGGAGCGGTTGGAATGAGATAGCAGGCAGAGTGAGGAGAATTGTGTAATTCAGCCTGTTTATTCCTGTATCTAGGCCCAGAAAAACATGAAAGAGGGAAGATATGGCTGATCTAAGGTTTAGTTCCAGACTGCTGCAGTCTGATGTAGAGGAGTACTGAAGACAATCAGAGAGGAACAAAAAGTATAGTTCTAGAAGACAGGACACTCTTGACATAGACCAGTGTCAGCCATGTGAATACTCCCTTCCTGCTAGCCCTGACTGGAACACTCAGACATCACACCAAGGTGACACCTTCAAATAACTGCCTTTCATTACACCATCATTATGGCTCCATACTTCTCTAGCACCACTGGAGGACTAAGGCAGCCCTCTGGAAACTGAGAAAGGTGGGAGGACTGTACATTTGGAGTGCGAGACTGCGTGAATGTGAGTAAGTGTGAGCTTGTGTGTGTGTAGACAGCGACTTGCCTGTAGCACTGTCCTGGCCCTGTACGTCCTGCTCTGCCCGCACGCTGGTTGGCGTTAGCCTGGCTGATGGGGTACACCTGCAGGGCATCCATGCCAATGCGAGGGTTGAACACCTGTCAAAGAGAACACATCAGCAACAAACACAACACAGAGAAATACTATCCTAACATGGCTGGTCTTCTTTCATTTGATAGTCTGGGGAAGATCGTGAGGGCGACAGGGTACCTTGAGTTTGCAGTATCCAGCATCCACAACAAACATGATACCATCCACAGTCAGGGAAGTCTCGGCGATGTTGGTGGCAACGATGCACTTCCTTACACCATCTGGAGCCTGGCAGCCAGAAAACAAAACAAAGACATCAGGAGGAAGTGTTCCTTTTAGTATTAGGTATATGCATTCCAACTCCCTAATTACAAGTATGCTTGTGTACAAAGGATACTGCAGTATATTAAGAGTTCCAACTGTACATGTTAGCATAACAACAGTAAATGGGTGTGATTGGTTACCTTCTGGAAGATCTTGGCCTGGAGGTCAGAGGGCAGCTGGGAGTAGATGGGCAGTACAGTCAGAGGAGGGGCACTCTCCAGGTCCTCCAGACGCTCCACGATCTGGTCTGACGTCACCTCGATGTCCTCCTGGCCAGGCATGAAGATGAGGATGTCTCCCCCCATACCACTGAGGTGGATCTGTAGGGCCTGCTTCACTGCTGCCTCCACATAGTCTTCCTGGGGAGTCTACACACAGATAACACTGTTAGAATACACAACAACTACACACTACCTCGGTACAAATAACAGTAGTCTTACGCCATGACCAAACCGGCACCGCGGGTGCGTTCGCCATTGTGAGCATGATAATTCTGTCCATCTCCACCAGACGCGATCATGACACGCAGGTTAAAATACCAAAACCAACTGTGAATCAATTCTATTAATTTCAGGAAAGGTCATAACACATGAAACATTCATGGACATTTAGCTAGATAGCTGTTGCTAGCAGTTTGTCCAGGGAGATGAACATCGGGTTGTTATTTTACCTGACATGCAAAACAGTCCTCTTTTTAGCTGGTTCTTTGTAGATTTGACAAAATGTGTGTTTCTCTACTCTGACGATTAATCCACAGATAAAAGTTAAACCAAGTTAGTTTTTTGTTATCTTTGATTAAATCTCTCCTTGTTCGTTTTTCAAGCACCCACGTCGGTTTGTATATTTGTGAAAACCAATAAGGAGATGAGAGAGGTGGGACTTGCAGCACATCGAGCGTCTTAAATAGAACCAAGTTCTATTTTAGCGTTCCGTAAAGTAGTGTGGATGAAATGATTGAAAAACATGCATGTGTAAATGTATTACGCAACGCTCGGCACGAAATGTGGCCGGTCTAGTCAGAGTGCAAGTCAATATACAAATGATCCTTACGTTGAAAATATGAATGGAAAGTTGGACACAATACCTTGCTGAATAAGATATCTACAGGGAAAGTTCTTCCTGGAATGTGGAATATGGGAACGTTCCCGAAAAATGCAGCAAATTTGTCAGAGTCCATGGTGGCTGAGGTGACTATCAGCTTGAGGTCAGAACGCCTCGATACAACCTGGAAGAAAAGGTGAGAGAGAGAAAGTTCTACTACTGCTTACAACAAGATAACCAAAAAATATGCATGCAAAATAATAATCACAATTGAATAACATCCAGTGAGTTGTAGAAGTGTCTCCCTGTGGTCTAGCAGTCTAAGCCACTGCCCCTGGAGCACATGTACCACTGCCGGTATGAGTTTGAATCCAGCCCACTGCTCTTTCAGCACTCTCTCTCTCCTACCTCTCACCTCTATCCAATAAACATACTAAATACTTTAAAAATACAAAGTGTCTCCCCCTGACCTCTCGTAGCAGGCCGAACAGCACGTCTGTGTTGAGGGAGCGTTCATGGGCCTCGTCCATGATGACAGCACTGTAGTGGTCCAGATCTGACTCCCTGAGAGACTCTCTCAGCAGGATCCCATCTGTCATGTACTTTATCACAGTCTTCTCCGACGTACAGTCCTCAAAACGGATCGCATAACCCACCTGCAAAGCAAAAACTGAACGGTTTAGTAGTGAACTACATATATTTACATTCCACGTATGAATTACGGCCTTCAAACTACAGTGCTACGGGTCAACCAAAGAAACAAGCTGGCGAGGAGAGTTCAATTACAAGTTGTAGAATGGAAGCGGTGTACAATCTCTGAGTCACCACTAGATGGAGGTGTTGTGTTGCACACATATGAATACAAGCATCAACTCCATAAGGAGAAAACCAAGACAGCACCATGAGTCAACATCAATTGACAGATGACCTCTAAACACAGTGAACATTTATATCTGTTGGAAAAACACTTATTCCGTTCTGGAGTACTTCCGTTCCTCTATAGAAAAGTTAATTGCAGTTCATAAACTCTTGCCAGGTTTGTTACACTGGGTTAACTGATAAGAGTGGTTATCCACTGCTTTGACTGATTCATAGATCAGTTTTTCTCAGATCTAGTTAATGTTTGCCTAGTGGCTCCTCCATAAGCCAGCTGAATGCTCACCTCCTCTCCCAGGTTGCTGCCCAGCTCCTCGCTGACTCTCTTGGCCACGCTCATGGCTGCCACTCTGCGGGGCTGGGTGCAGCCCACCATGCCGTAGCTGGTGTAGCCGTCCTCGTGAAGGTACTGGGTCAGCTGGGTGGTCTTCCCACTGCCCGTCTCCCCCACCACGATCACAATGCTGTTGTCCCTGGAGAGAATCCCATCACAACCACTAACATTAAAACCCTGATGGGACTTTTCAACCTTACGAAACTGTGGAAACATGAATAATGGCTCACGAAAACAGATCTGGAAGTGTATTTGTCAATGATTTACAAATGCTGTCTAACATTACCTTAGTCACCTGTGATGTGGTCATTCTCTAACCAAAGGTAAATCACATATGAACATTCTGACTTCACAGCCCCCAATTCCCACCTTCATTGCCATACATGTCTTATCCTACACCCTGAATGAAAGCCTGCATCTGGGGTAAGGCTGGGGGTGATAAGTGGTCCCAGGACAGCCAGGCCGGGTCCAGTAGAGTAGCTACCTGATGATGTTGAGCAGTTGCTGCCTCACAGCGAAGATGGGCAGATACTGCCTCTGCTCCAACAGGGTCTTCTTCTTAGCAAACTCACTGCTGGCCTCATTCTTATCTTTCATGTGGTCTGCAAACTTCTGATCCGTTCTGGAGGGGGAGAGAGGGAATTATTGAGGTTGTTCTTGTCACATTTCTAAACTGATATTTAATAAACATTCAAAATGGACACAAAATAAGCCTTTAGTAAAGGGCTTGTTACCTGTAGTCCACCTTGCCATCCTCACCCACTGGCTTGCCCCCAGAGCTATCCCCGTCCTCGGTCTTCTTGATGCCCATGATGTCACCCAGCTTGGTGCCTGCCAGCTCCCAGTGTTTCTGTTGAGCCTGGAGAAACAATCAAAATGACACACAGATATTCAGCCAGTAACCATACCATCAACTACTGTATAGTTGTTTTAAACATTGCCTTCCCTCCACTCAGCCTACCTTCTTGCGTTCCTTCTGCTCACGGTGCTTGCGGACCAGCTGGCTGCCCTTGCGGGAGATGATGGCCATGTCGGAGGTGGCGTCTTTCACAGGGATGACAGGCTCCGGCTACAGCACAGAGAGACACCAGCAACAGTACCCATTCAGTACACAGCAACTCTGATAGTAAATCTACTAGTTATTACTCAACCAGCTCCAAATGCGTTTCAGCAGACTCTCACAATCCCTCAACAAGCCTGCAACAGCTCTCGTCCCATGGCTTAGAACTTAAAAGTACATACACTCCACTACGTATTTGGACAGTGAAGCTAAAAATATATATTTGGCTCTATACTTCAGCTTTTGGATTTGAGATCAAATGTTTTCTACGAGGCGACAGAACGTCACCTTTTATTTGAGGGTATTTTCATACATATGTTTTACCGTTTACAAATTAAAGCACTTTTTTTTTATCTAATCCCATCATTTGAAGGCATCATAAGTACAGTGCCTTCAGAAAGTATTCCACATTTTGTTGTGTTACAGCCTGAATTTAAAATGGATTAAATCGTTTTTTTTTCTCTCTTCTCACCCATCTACACCCCATAATGACAAAGAAAAAAATGTTTAGCAATATTTGCACATTCTTTTTTAAATTCTTCAAGTGCTGTCAAGTTGGTTGTTGCCAAGCCTTCAAGACGATTTAAGTCAAAACTGTAACTAGGTACCAATCAGGAACATTCAATGTCGTCTTGGTAAGCAACGCCAGTGTATATTTGGCCTTGTGTTTTAGGTTATTGTCCTGCTGAAAGGTGAATTTGTCTCCCAGTGTCTGGTGGAAAGCAGACTAAACCAGGTTTTCCTCTAGGATGACTTCTGTGCTTAACTCTATTCCGTTTCTTTTTATTCTAAAAACCTCCCTATTCCTTGCCGATGACAAGTACATCCATAACATGATGCAGAGTGGTACTCAGTGATGTGTTGTGTTGGATTTGCCCCAAACATTTCTTTGCCACATTTGTTGCTGTTTTACTTTAGTGCCTTATTGCAAACAGGATGCATGTTTGAGAATAATACCGGCTTCCTTCTTTTCACTCTGTCATTTAGGTTAGTATTGTGGAGTAATTACAATGTTGTTGATCCATCAGTTCTCATATCACAACCATTAAACTCTGTAACTGTTTTTAAAGTTACTATTAAACTCTGTAACTGTTTTAAAGTTACCATTGGCCTCATGGTGAAATCCCTGAGTGGTTTCCTTCCTCTCCGGCAACTGAGTTAGGAAGGACACCTGTACCTTGGTAGTGACTGGGTGTATTGATACACCATCCAAAGTGTAATTAATAGCTTCACCATGCTCAAAGGCATATTCAGTGTGTTTTTTATTTTAACCCATCTACCAATAGGTGCCCTTCTTTGAGAGGCATTGGAAAACCTCCCTGTTCTTGTGGTTGAATCTGTGTTTGAAATTCACTGCTCAACTGAGGGACCTTACCCAGATAATTGTATGTGTGAGGTACAGAGATGAGGTAGTCATAGAAAAATTCATGTTGAACACTATTATTGCACACAGAGTCCACGCAACTTATTAAGCACATTTTTACTCCTGAACTTATTTAGGCTTGCCATAACAAAGGGGTTGAATGCTTATTGACTCAAGACATTTCAGCTTTTCATTTTTAATTATTTGTAAACATTTCTAAAAACATAATTCCACTTTGACATTATGGGGTATTGTGTGTAGGTCAGTGACACAAAATCTCAATTTAATCACTTTTAAATTCAAGCTGTAATACAACGAAATGTGGAAAAGTCAATGGGTGTGAATACTTTCTGAAGGCACTGTATTTGGACAAATTCACTTATACTGCATTAAATTCTGTCAAAAGTTTAGTATTTGGTCCCATATTCCTAGCAAGCAGTGACTAAATTAAGCATTTGACCCTACAAACTTGTTGGATGCATTTTCTGTTTGTTTTGGTTGTGTTTTGGCTTATGTTGTGCCCAATATAAATTAATGGTAAATTGTGTCATTTTGGAGTCACTTTCATTGTAAATAAGAACAGAATATGTTTCCGAACACTTCTACTTTAATGTGGATGCTACCATGATTACAGACAATCATGAATGAATCGTGAATAATGATGAGTGAGAAAGTTAGAGGCAAAAACATCATACCCCCCAAAAAATGCTAACCTCCCCTGTTATTGGTAATGGTGAGAGGTTAGCATGTCTTGGGGGCATGATCTTTTTGCATCTGTTGAACAAGTTTGTGGAGTCACAAGCTTGAGGTAGTCATTGCATGCTAGGAATATTGGACCAAATACTAAACTTTTGATTAAATGTAATACACAAAGTGAATTTGTCCAAATACTTATGACACCTTCAAATGGGGGGACTAGATACATGAAGTGCTTTCATTTACAAACTGTAAAACAGAAATGTATGAAAATACCCTCAAATAAAAGGTGACATTCTGTACTGTCATCTGGGGCTGGGACGATAACAGCATTGTGATACTCGTTAGTATTGTGACAAGGAAACAAAACACAAAGCAGATTTAACTTCTTTAGGAAAACAGCCCTAATGTTGGAAACAAACATCATTATGTTGTCATCTAGAGTCACATTTATTTATTTTCCAAGCTATAGTACACAAAATATTTTACATACAGCAGGTTTTTAAAGGACCAAAAATGGTCGTCTGCTTCGTGTTTTCGCGACACTGGTTTCGCCACTAGCCTCACAAAACATTTCATCTCTAATTCAAAATGCTGGAGTATAGAGCCAAATTAAACGTTTTAGCTTCCCTGTCCAAATAAATACGAAGGGGAGTGTTGGTAATTTCATTGGCCCATAACGTGCTGTAATGATGTATTACCTGCTTGGTGAAGACTATCCTCCCATCCAGGAAGGGAGGGACCAGGTTGTGAACCAGCAGGTGGACCTTGGCAGCGTTGTCCTCCTCAAAGTCATCATCCACCTCCAGCCTCTGGACCACTCCACTGGTCAGCATACGGTTAGTCTCCCAGCGCTCATTATCCTGGCAGGAGGAACACAACACACATCGTTATACATACAGTCACACACACAAAATTCAAATCCATGGATGGTATTAACGATCAAAACTATAACTAAACGGGCTACATACACCCAGGGCTGGAGGTGGTCACAGAGTAGGAACACAGTGCCATACCTCATTGATCTGTCGTCTCTGGGCAGAGATGCGTTTCTGTGTCTGCTTCTGCAGGATCTGCTCTCTCTTCTTCACATAATCCTCAGAGGTGGAGGTCAGTGGGTTGTGGAACTCATCATAGCCTTCGTCCATCATGTACCAGTCTCTGTCCGCTTGCTGTAACACCACAGGGCAATAGTCAATACATAGAAACTTGCATTTATGAATGTTGGGAAAGCTATTCATTTGTGTTACTGCTAAAACTCCACATGTCCACTCACCTTCTGGTCCTCCTCCCACTGCTGCTTCTCATCATCATTATCAAAGGCGATGCCATCCTCTCCTTCATTCTTACCTGGGGCACAGAGACACAATCCACAAACATCAGCAAGCCTTATCAGAGCATTAATAAGAGCTCAAACGTGACTGGGGGAAGAGGGAGAGGGGAAGGAGGAGGGGCTTACCTTTCCCACGGGACAGACGAGGAGTGGAGCCCAAGTGCTTCCTGTCATTGGCCCATTCGTTGTACTTGTATGATGGGGTGGGAAGGGGTGTGTCATCAGGATACCGGCCTCTGACTGACCTGGGAACAGAGACAAGAAAAGTTCATTTCCAAAAGCTGAACATAACACATTTCTAATAGCCACTGAAAATGAGTCTTTAGATAGTGCTATAAAACCCAGTCAAATGAACATACGAGTGTTGAGCTGCAGTTACTTACTTGTCCTTCCTCTCGCTCTCCCGTCCAGAGCGGGGGCTGCGCTCCGGCCGTTCAGACTTGTCAGAATCCTTGTGTGAAGGGGCAGGAGAGGGAGATTCCCAGTGGGAACGGCGTGAGCTGGCATAGCCGCTGTCATCCTCATCCCAGCTGGTGCGCGAGGGAGTGCCATCTGAGTCAAAGGGTTTGCGGAATGGAGGGAGAGAGAGTGGTTAGTGTATTGTAGGCATAACCTAAGGACCTTAAATAACTGCCTGTCAGGGGGTGTGGCAGGGTTACTGACCTTTGGGGCGTGTCTGGGGCGTTGGAGGCTCCTCTCTCTTACTCCCCCGGCTGATGCGTTCGGAGGACCAGCCTTCTCTCTGTGAGCGCTCACTCCTCTCACTGCGATCTCCACGCTCTGACCGGCTGCTGCTGCTGCTGCCGCCGCGGATGTGACTGCGCTCCCGCTCATCTGCCATCAAAGCAGTTAGCCAATATTTCAGTCACAAATTCACAGACACACAACAGATAGGAACGATTGCTATTGCCAGAATATGAACATTGTGCATGCAGATGTAGAAATGTTTTGCTCACCTCTTTCACCCCGTCGATCTCTGTCCATATCTCTGATCCTCTCTCTGTCCTTCTCCCGCTCTCTGTTCTTGTCCTCTTTGGAGGAGGCGTACATTCCATGCTCACGCCGTTCTTTCTCCCTCTGCTGGTGTTTGCGACGGAACTCTTCGCTGACCCCTCCAGGGTTAGAGGGTGTCTCTGAGCCAGTCACACGGTACTTCCTGCTGCTTTATGAAACATAGAATAAAGTGTCAGTAATGCAACAGTGCATGCATGACATCAGTTGAGATGTGATCTCTTTATAGGGAGAGAGTATGTATTCTATGCTAATAAGAAAAGAAGATACAGTAACTCAAACCAAATCACTTCAAAACAACATACCTCTCTTTTTTACCACCTTGGTCCTCCTCGTCTTTGTCTTCTTCATCAGACCCAGAATCACCTTTCCCTTCCTCCCAGTCCATGTAGCAGGACACCTTGGATTTCTTGTTATTCCTGTCATCACTGTCAGCTTCAGCCTGCTCCTTGCCCTCACGCTCCTTTCTCTTTTGAGCTGCCAGCAGATCCAGGCCCAGGAGAGAGGTGCGTGGAGTGGGTGCACGAAAGACATGAGGCTCTACTGCTGCACTCTTGTTCTTCACAATCAGCCCGCCGACCTGCGCAGTGGGGTCACTGCCCTCCAGTCGGTGCAGTGACGCATCATCCTCCATGGTCTCTCTCAAACAACTGTCTGGATTGGATACCACATTTTTTGGGAGATTAGCCAACTACTAATTCTGTAACGTTAGGGATGTGTCAGATAATTTAGAACGAAAACACTTAATCAAAGGCACTTTGCATACGGACATTTGAACGACTTGAGAGATTATTACATTTAACGAATCGATCAAAAGTGTAAAATCGCGCCCGAATAATTCACGGGATGTATTTTAGATTGCTACAGTAGCTAGCTAATTTATCTTGCTACCTACGCAGCTATTTAGTCAGTACTGTCGCTACACTAGCTACATGTAGATGTATCTACATCTAACGCCAATGAACGACCAGCAGAAACTATTATGACTTAGTGACAGACGTGACTTCAAAAAAAACATTTTTAAAGTAGCTAACGTTACCTAGCTAGCTAACAGGATATCGCTCAGCCAATGAATTAACTAGCGAGCTAGCTATTACGTTACAAAAAGGAAATTAAACTAATAGCTACGACTGTACATTCCGATATTACAGTTGTAAAATCCCATTCAATAAAACACGGGCTTGCTTACCTTTAACAATAGGTGGTGAGTCTATCAAGACGCTGACACTAGCTAGCTAGTATTTTTTTAGCGAACTAGCTAAACCTGCCACATGTATTTATTGTAACTAAAAAAATTATCTTCAATAACATTAACAACCCGAGTTACTGGGAAAATACCATTCATGTAAGTACGAAAACTGTGCCACCCACTTGAGATGATTCAAACCATTACGAAATAGATATTATCTTTTGTAAATTATGCGTTTTTTGTTTACAAAGACAGAAGCCGCCATTGCTATCCCACAATTCCACGGGATATATATATAAAAAAAAAAAAAAACTTTATTAAAATTCTGTTCCAGAACACTGGACAATCTATTTTCTTCTTCGTGTGGCTTTCTTCTTCATGTGGCTTTCCCGGCAGATTAGTTGCATATTGCTGCATTTCGCAGGTTGGAGTGCGAATTGCACATTTTGGTCACAAAAAATAAAAAGGGAAAAGGAGAATGGGAAAAACTTTAATTGCACCACCATCTAACACTGCACCTATACACTATCCCAAAAAATCCACCACCCTCATCCCACTACTTTGACCCTAAATTATCCTACACCAGGCCATCGGCCTGGGAGGATGGAACCCCTCTCAAAACTTCCTGTAGCTCTTCGGCACTAAAATCTCTCACACCCAAATATTTCTCTGCTGCTGCAACTACCACATCTATCTTCTGTGATTTCCGCTCCATCAGTGCAGTGCAGTTGATCACCATGGCTATAAACACAAGAAATCCAACCATACTAAAAACCTATTCCTCTCTGGCTCTCTCTCTTCAGGCTTACTCACTGGGGGCCTCCCAGTCAACTCACTCACCCCTGGGCTATCCTCTACTCTCTTCACTGCCTCAGCATAGGAAACGTTCTGCCCCACTCAAACTCTGGCAATCTCAACCTGTCTCTCACAGGGCACTTCGGATCCCCAGCTGAATGGGCACCCCCACAGTTGACCCATAGTGCTTTCTCTATCCCAACTGTACACTCCTTCTGACTATGCCCTCCTGCACATTTCTCACATCTTGGGATCTCCCTTCTACACACTGCTGCAACATGTCTGAATCCTTGGCACCTAAAGCACCGAAGCGGGTTCGGAACATAGGCCCTCACAGAATGCAATTATAACCTAGCCTGACCTTATCAGGTAGAAGCTCTGTGTCAAAGCTCAACAAGACGGACAGGGTATTCTCAGTCTCGCCATTGCCACTGGGTCTACGTCTCACCAAACGGCGGGCGTCACAAACATAGGAAATATTCCTTTCAATTTGATTGACCTCTACACTCAATGCTACCCCATTGATTACTGGTCCAAAATCATATCTGGTAGGATTCTCAGGGCAAACGTTTGAAGACTGTCGCCGCAGGTAGGCCCACTACATCCTGGACTGCACAGGAGGCTGCTGAGGGGAGGAATGCTCATAATAATGGTCAGAACAGCACAAATGGAATGGCATCAAACACATGGAAACCATGTGTTCAATGTATTTGATACCATTCCACGTACTCTGCTCCAATCATTACCAGAAGGCTGTTCTCCCCAATAAGGTGCCACCAACCTCCTGTTCTGGACTGGCTCAACTTCAGAGCTCACCTCTGCTGACTGACTCCCTTTCGAGATCATCAAGGTTCTCAAGAGAGCATGAAGACATAAGTAAGACTACTTGGTTTGTAATCAGGAGATGTAGGTACAGTGGGGAAAAAAAGTATTTAGTCAGCCACCAATTGTGCAAGTTCTCCCACTTAAAAAGATGAGAGAGGCCTGTAATTTTCATCATAGGTACACGTCAACTATGACAGACAAATTGAGACAAAAAAATCCAGAAAATCACATTGTAGGATTTGTAATTAATTAATTTGCAATTTATGGTGGAAAATAAGTATTTGGTCAATAACAAAAGTTTCTCAATACTTTGTTATATACCCTTTGTTGGCAATGACACAGGTCAAACGTTTTCTGTAAGTCTTCACAAGGTTTTCACACACTGTTGCTGGTATTTTGGCCCATTCCTCCATGCAGATCTCCTCTAGAGCAGTGATGTTTTGGGACTGTTGCTGGGCAACACGGACTTTCAACTCCCTCCAAAGATTTTCTATGGGGTTGAGATCTGGAGACTGGCTGGGCCACTCCAGGACCTTGAAATGCTTCTTACGAAGCCACTCCTTCGTTGCCCGGGCGGTGTGTTTGGGATCATTGTCATGCTGAAAGACCCAGCCACGTTTCATCTTCAATGCCCTTGCTGATGGAAGGAGGTTTTCACTCAAAATCTCACGATACATGGCCCCATTCATTATTTTCTTTACACGGATCAGTCGTCCTGGTCCCTTTGCAGAAAAACAGCCCCAAAGCATGATGTTTCCACCCCCATGCTTCACAGTAGGTATGGTGTTCTTTGGATGCAACTCAGCATTCTTTGTCCTCCAAACACGACGAGTTGAGTTTTTACCAAAAAGTTCTATTTTGGTTTCATCTGACATTCTCCCAATCCTCTTCTGGATCATCCAAATGCACTCTAGCAAACTTCAGACGGGCCTGGACATGTACTGGCTTAAGCAGGGGGGACACGTCTGGCACTGCAGGATTTGAGTCCCTGGCGGCGTAGTGTGTTACTGATGGTAGGCTTTGTTACTTTGGTCCCAGCTCTCTGCAGGTCATTCACTAGGTACCCACGTGTGGTTCGGGGATTTTTGCTCACCGTTCTTGTGATCATTTTGACCCCACAGGGTGAGATCTTGCGTGGAGCCCCAGATCGAGGGAGATTATCAGTGGTCTTGTATGTCTTCCATTTCCTAATAATTGCTCCCACAGTTGATTTCTTCAAACCAAGCTGCTTACCTATTGCAGATTCAGTCTTCCCAGCCTGGTGCAGGTCTACAATTTTGTTTCTGGTGTCCTTTGACAGCTCTTTGGTCTTGGCCATAGTGGAGTTTGGAGTGTGACTGTTTGAGGTTGTGGACAGGTGTCTTTTATACTGATAACAAGTTGAAACAGGTGCCATTAATACAGGTAACGAGTGGAGGACAGAGGAGCCTCTTAAAGAAGAAGTTACAGGTCTGTGAGAGCCAGAAATCTTGCTTGTTTGTAGGTGACCAAATACTTATTTTCCACCATAATTTGCAAATAAATTCATAAAAAATCCTACAATGTGATTTACTGGATTTATTTTTCTCAATTTGTCTGTCATAGTTGACGTGTACCTATGATGAAAATTACAGGCCTCTCTCATCTTTTTAAGTGGGAGAACTTGCACAATTGGTGGCTGACTAAATACTTTTTTCCCCCACTGTACAGTTGAAGTCGGAAGTTTACATACACCTTAGCCAAATACATTTAAACTACGTTTTCACAATTCCTGACATTTAATCCTAGTAAAAATTCCCTGTCTTAGGTCAGTTAGGATCACCACTTTATTTTAAGAATGTGAAATGTCAGAATAATAGTAGAGAGAATGATTTATTTCAGCTTTTATTTCTTTCATCACATTCCCAGTGGGTCAGAAGTTTACATACACTCAATTAGTATTTGGTAGCATTGCCTTTAAATTGTTTAACTTGGGTCAAACATTTCGGGTAGCCTTCCACAAGCTTCCCACAATAAGTTGGGTGAATTTTGGCCCATTTGCCCATTTGCGACCAAGCTTTAACTTCCTGACTGATGTCTTGAGATGTTGCTTCAATATATCCACATCATTTTCCTTCCTCATGATGCCATCTATTTTGTGAAGTGCACCAGTCCCTCCTGCAGCAAAGCACCCCCACAGCATGATGCTACCACCCCCATGCTTCACGGTTGGGATGGTGTTCTTCGGCTTGCAAGCCTTCCCCTTTTTCCTCCAAACATAACAATGGTCATTATGGCCAAACAGTTCTATTTTTGTTTAATCAGATCAGAGGACATTTCTAAAAAAGTATGATCTTTGTCTCCATGTGCAGTTGCAAACCGTAGTCTGGCTTTTTTAATGGAGGTTTTGGAGCAGTGGCTTCTTCCTTACTGCACGGCCTTTCAGGTTATGTCGATATAGGACTCATTTTACTGTGGATATAGATACTTTTGTACCAGTTTCCTCCAGCATCTTCACAAGGTCCTTTGCTGTTGTTCTGGGATTGATTTGCACTTTTCGCACCAAAGTACGTTCATCTCTAGGAGACAGAACGCGTCTCCTTACTGAGCGGTATGACGGCTGCGTGGTCCCATGGTGTTTATACCTGCGTATTGTTTGTACAGATGAACGTGGTACCTTCAGGCATTTAGAAATTGCTCCCAAGGATAAACCAGACTTGTGGAGGTCTACCATTTTTATTTTGAGGTCTTAGCTGATTTCTTTTGATTTTCCCATGATGTCAAGCAAAGAGGCACTGAGTTTGAAGGTAGGCCTTGAAATACATCCACAGGTAACACCTCCAATTTACTCAAATTATGTCAATTAGCCTATCAGAAGCTTCTAAAGCCATGACAATTTTCCAAGCTGTTTAAAGTCACAGTCAACTTTAATGTATGTAAACTTCTGACCCACTGGAATTGTGATACAGTGAATTATAAGTGAAATAATCTGTCTGTAAACAATTTTTGGAAAAATTACTTGTGTCATTCACAAAGTAGATGTCGTAACCGACTTGCCAAAACTATAGTTTGTTAACAAGAAATGTGTTGAAAAGTGGTTGAAAAACGAGTTTTAATGACTCCAATCTAAGTATGTAAACTTCCAACTTCAACTGTTTGTACACCTCGAACGAAGGTGTATACTCAGGAGACAAATCCCTGATCTTAACAGCGCCATTCTTACGCTTTCATACCATCGCATTTCTCCCAGCTGTCTAATGTCCTACACAGATTCCCGACAATCTACTTATGTGTAGGGCAGGATTATATAGGCAGGAACTACATAAATGCTGTATACTGCATTAAATAAGTGATGATTCAACTGCAGAATTTGTTTTTATCATTCCTCGACCGTAGCTATTAAATTGAATTAAAAATCATAATATACTGCTTTCAAAATATTCATTTGAGATAAAACTTCGATTTTTTTAAAATAGGAAATGGCAGTCAATGACAGTAATTTAGGTTACATAGTGGATATCTGAATGAACTGCTCAGTCAGTAAAAAAATGACAGTAACAAATATTTCCTTACAGTATTTATGAGTACACCTCTCATAACAAAAATAGTACACAGAGAACAATGAAAAGCATATCATAAAAGCATGTAGCTTATAAAATAGCCACATGTCACTCAAATAATTGTATGAAAATGATAGCACGAATTATAATTTCAATGGGAATGGTCTTTGAAGTATAATGAATTTGAAAGTGTCCAAATGGAATATGTTTGTTATCATATGTACAAATCAGTATTATAAAGTCTTGGGAAGGTTGTTTTCAGGTGCTCCACAAGTTGTGAATAGCAACATTTATATGAAACATACTGACGTATTAAATATATTGTTGACATTTACCAATTAAAATTGGTAGTGCAATTGAATATCCACATATATGCTTTCAAGTACTGCTGTTTATCCACAATTCCCAGATACAGATTTACACTTAAAAATGGCATGGTGACCAACACTACAATAAACGGACAGTTAACACAATACGAATGTAAAACAGTGTTTTATATTAGTCCAATCATTAGAATTCAACGACACTCACTACATAGGGCAGCATTAAAGTACTTGAACTTTTTGAATTGCAAATGGATGTGCATAGGAAGAGACAAACATATATCCTGCACAATGTGTGTAAGGCAATATAATTAATCCAGGTTATAATATATATATATATATATATATATATATATATAACACACCAATTATCTCATTCTTAATTTTTGTTTTTTAAAGCATAGTATCACCAAATAAATGCAATTTAACTTACCAATACATCAAAAGAGAATATACATGGTGTGCAGCCTTTGTAATGCAAAAGGTAGAGATTTAGAGTCCTACTCGATCAGTCGATGCACGCATGCAACGCAATGAATAGCTGAACATAAATTATGTACTTTAACTATGAGGCATATTGTTCAATCAAGTCATTGGTTCAAATCAATGATGATTTTTAAGTTTCAAATGACAAATTGCATGACAATCTATACTCAAGCAAACATTTGTTAGAATGCTTCATTTCTAGCTTTTCCTATGTTCAGTCACCAGAAATTAAATACTGGGCAGCAGTTTTTGAGGAGAATTAAGACTCACGATGAGTGTGCAACTCAACCTAAACAAAAAAACATGCTAATCAGATTTCTCAGTGTAAGAAAACAGCATTATTTGTTATAGATATGACCCCATAACCTGTGTTGCCATACTCTATTACACATAAATATATTTCTACTTCCTAGACCTAGAGCATAGAGATGGTGGGGTTAGCCACTAAACATGTCTGAACAAATGGAGAGAAATCCAGTGAGCTCCAAAGGTATTGGGACAGTGAAGTGACACATTTTTTGTTGTTTTGAAATGATAATGACTATGACCTTAAAGTGTAGACTTTGTATACATAGTCTCCCCCCCTCACACACACATTTTAAGGGACCAAAAGTATTGGGACGAATGTGTTGGATGCATTTGCTGTTTGTTTTGGTTGTGTTTCAGATTATTTTGTGCCCATGGTACATCCACATTAATGGATAATCCTGAACGAATTGTGAATATTTATGAGAAAGTTAGATGCACAAATATCATACCGCCCCCAAAAATGCTAACCTCCCCTGTTATTGTAATGGTGAGAGGTTAGCATGTTTTTTTTTTTTTTTGTCATTTAGCAGACGCTCTTATCCAGAGTGACTTACAGTTAGTGAGTGCATACATTATTTTTTTATTTTTCATACTGGCCCCCCGTGGGATTCAAACCCACAACCCTGGCGTTGCAAACGCCATGCTCTACCAACTGAGCTACATCCCTGCCGGCCATTCCCTCCCCTACCCTGGACAACGCTTGGCCAATTGTGCGCCGCCCCATGGGTCTCCCGGTCGCGGCCGGCTACGACAGAGCCTGGATTCGAACCAGGATTTCTAGACCACTGCGCCACTTGGGAGGTCTTGGGGGTGTAATATTTGTGCGTCTAACTTTCTCACTCATTATTCACAATTCATTCAGAATTATCCGTAATCATGGTAGCATCCACATTAATGTAGAGGTGTTTAGAAACATATTCTATTCTTATTTACAATAAAAGTGACTAAAATGGCACAATAACACATTATTTACCATGAATCTCTATTGGGTACAAAATAATCTGATACACAACCAAAACAAACAACAAATGCATCCAACAAATGTGTCACAACCTTGATGTAGTCATTGTGTGCTATGAATATGGGACCAAATACTTAACTTTTTACTCCACATTAGTGAATTTGTTCCATTTATCTTTGGTACCCTAAAATGGGGGGACTATGTACAAAAAGTGCAGTAATTTCTAAACGGTTCACCCGATATGGATGAAAATAACCTGACAGTCTGCACTTTAACCTCATAGTCATTGTATCATTTAAAATCTAAAGTGCTGAGTACAGAGCCAAAACAAAACAAAAATGGTCACTGTCCCAATACTTTTGGAGCTCACAGTAAAAGTCTCACAAAGCAGATAGCGACAACAGTTTGCAGATATAAATGACAGTTTAGATCACTTGCATGTGAATAAGTAACTTAAAAAGACACCACACAATAAGTATCACAAAAGGCAGAGTGAGTAAACAATATGAATAGATTAGAAAACGATTTAAAGAGACTGAGGGCAGAAAGTTTCCCGATGCATCTCACCCCACTGCCTGTTGGATGAGGTCTAGAAAAGTAAGCAGAGGGATTCTTTTATCCTTTCCCTCCCTTTCCTTCAAGGTGAGGGCACTGTGTGAGTTGAGTGGGACGCGGGGCGCACCTCTGAAAAGTTGTGTGCGTTCAATGCAAGGGGGGTTTGGTCAAACATGTCAAGGCCTCCAGACAGAACGAATGAGAAGAGACGATAGCGTCAGGACTCAGGAAGACTTGTGCTCCAGCATGTAGTATCGATACATGATACCCACAACAACTGCAGCTACGGCAGGTATCAACCATGTGGTCCACGAGCTAGAGAAAGAAGGAAAGAGCACTTAGACATTCAGCCAGGGAACAAAAACAGCTCAGTGAAGAATGATTAGGAGCCATCTCCTAATAATCAAATTCTTATCGCTTATGACTGACCTGGAGCCATCTCCTGAAGTTGTAATGAATGCTTCCTGTGGGATAATTGTTGTTGTTGTTGATAAAACAAAGTTCAAGGGTTAGCATTAGTAAAATAGGTGTTACATTATTATAAAACATTTTTACAGAACATTTACTTGAATATTGTGTGAAAATATACTTTACCTTTGCGCCATCCTTCTTCCTGTCATCCTAAAAGACAGGGAATCATTTACACACTTTTACAATCAGAATAAATCATGCCACAGATAATGTTTTTGTTCCATTATTAAATTGAAAACTATGTTTCAAAGACACTTGTGAACAAACAAACAAATTTGCAATAACTGAGAGTTCAACAGTTGAGAGAAAGCAATCTCTGTACCATATGGAGCTCCCCAACGTAGTACTGGATGAGCATCTCTCTGGCATCTGTAGAGTGCCCAACATCCTCAAAGCTCTCTGTGGCATCTGCACCTGCCTGCTCCACCAGAACCTCCTCTCCTCCTGGATGCTGGAAACACAGAAACAAGTGGTAGACTTAATCATGATCTGTCACTACCAATAGTTGGAATGTAATCACAGACTACACAATTATAGCATATGATGTCCTACATGGTATGGATGGCTGGCTTATGTCGACCTAAATGTAAATATGATAAATGTGTTAAATAAAGCTCTGAACTCTTAATTCTCTGATATCCTGAAATGATTATGCATTTACATATTATAGGGATAGATTGCTTCATCATAATGGTTAAAGCTCCAATGTTTACTTTTTTGTTGGCAGGCTCACTCTTTGAAGTTAAACAAATCTTACAGTGTGGTTTTACTTCACAAATACAGCCTTGATAATATAACACATTAAATAGGTCATACTTGTAACTAACCCCTTTAATCTTAGCCTGAAATCCAGAACATGTTTTGCTAACATTCCACTCCTTGTACTCTGTGCCATTGGCAATTTTTTTTTAGCATTAACATGGAGTGGAATGATAGCTAAACAGACTGGTACCCAGGCTACTTTCATCTGCGGTCATGCTTTGCCATTGGCATTGTATTTTGACTTATTTGTACATCATACCTTGAGATGCTCTGGATAAGAGCGTCTGCTAAATGACTAAAATGTAAATGTAAAAATGGTGCGTTGCGCAACTTTTGGCTACTGACCTCTTGTAACCCCTAGCTAGTTTTGTAACCTTTGCCAAGTGGACTAAAGTCCCACTGTGGTAGTTATAGCTACAGTAAGAGGACCAGGCAAGGATTAACTACCTAGCGCACAATTAGGAGTGGTCGTGACAAAATGTTGCAAAATTATTTTGGCAAATTAAGCTAGGCATACCTAACTAACGTTAGTTACGTTAGCTAGCTAACGTTACGCTAGGTAATTTCCATAATAACGCATCTCCAGGTGCAACATTACACCATCTTTGTTAATATTATTGGGAATATGCAGACACAGTAGAATATGTAGACACAATAAGTAGACACAGATAGCATACACAGTTAAGTTAGCCACATCATTAGCTAGCTAGTTAAACTGGCAAAACACACAATAGCCAAAATAGCCAATGGTATTGCTGGCAAGCTGCCACCTTCAGCCTGTGTTGACTGAGCGTTGGATAACTAACGTTAGGCTATGGTAGCTAGCTAGAAAGACCCAGACCTTCACATAAGTGCATTGTTACTTAGCTAGTTAGTTAGTTATCTATCTAGCTAGACGTTTAGGTTGGCTTTGGATACGAAATGAATTTGAAACCAAGATGAGACCAATATTCTAGCTAGCTAGTAGAGGCGTAGCTAATGTGTTAAGTTAGCTAGTCAGCTAACAACGGTGGTATTTTGATTTTACCTCCTCCAAGAAACTGGTGACGTTATACACTTTATCGTGGATGATAATCCATGTGTCCTTGCTCATATTATGAGCTTTTATTTCTTCCAAGGTGTAGTATTTCACATCGCTGTCTGCTGTCTGTTCTGCTGTGTGATTCACGTCCCCCATGTTGTTAGCAGCACCATTTGTGTTGATCGTGTTATCGTTCATTTCCTCGCCCATTCTGTCTGTGTTTTAACACTTTGCCTAGCTAGCTAAGTACCTAAATTACACTTTGATTATCCAAAGTTGAATCGTATGCTGTAGAGTTTGAGAAAGAATGAAGGCTCGTGTATCCAATGTGGACTGCCTTAGCAATGCATAAGCCTGAGTTTCCCCTCAACCGGCATATCGTTACATCAGCAGACATGTGGAAAGGACCAATGATTTCATTCCGGTGTCACCTTCCAATGAACATGTATTGACTTTTAGACAAATAACCAATGAAATGCAACATTGTAGAATTGTAACCAATCACAGGTAACCTTTAGATGCTCATGAGACCTCGTCATTTAGCATGTCAATGGAAGAGCTTGATCAAGTATTTTACATTACTCACATATCAAATCAGTTTTGTTGCTCCTTTGATTTGACCCCCAATGTTGTGAAATGTTCTCAGTGGATTTGGATAATGATCAATGCAATTCCATCCTGCCTATTGTCTTTGTCAGTGGTGTTGTTTTTGAGTAGGTTCCACTTCCAACCTCACCCACTGAAGTGATGTCTAATGTACACTGAACAAAAATATAAACGCAACATGCAACAATTTCAAAGATTTTACTGAGTTACATTTCATATAAGGCCCAATTCTATGAATTTCACATGACTGGGAATACATATACAGTATGCATCTGTTGGTCACAGATACCCCCCCCCCCCAAAAAAAAAGTTGGGGTGTTGATCATAAAACCAGTCAGTATCTGGTGTGACCACCATTTGCCTCATACAGCGTGACACAGCTCCTTCGCATAGACTTGATCAGGCTGTTGATTGTGGCCTGTGGAATGTTGTCCCACTCCTCTTTTTATATTTTTTGTTTATTTAACCTTTATTTAACTAGGCAAGTCAGTAAAGAACAAATTCTTATTTACAATGACGGCCTACCAAAAGGCTAAAGACCTCCTGCGGGGACGGGGGCTGGGAATAAAAAAATAAAAGAATAGGACCAAACACACATCACAAGAGAGACAACACAACACTACATAAAGAGAGACCTAAGACAACAATGGCTGTGCGAAGTTGCTGTATTTTGGCGGGAACTGGAACCAGCTGTCGTACACGTCGATCCAGAGCAACCCAAGCATGCTCAATGGGTTACATTATTATTTATTATTATGTCTGGTGAGTATGCAGGCCATGGAAGAACTGTGACATTTTCAGTTTCCAGGAATTGTGTACAGATCCTTGTGAAATGGGGCTGTCCATTATCATGCTGAAACATTAGGTGATTGTGGCGGATGAATGGCACGACAATGGTGAGGACGACGAGCACGCAGATGAACTTCCCTGAGATGGTTTCTGACAGTTTCATCAGCTGTCCGAGTGGCTGGTCTAAGACGATCCTGCAGGTGAAGAAGCCGGATGTGGAGGTCCTGGGCTGGCGTGGTTACACGTGGTCTGCGGTTGTGAGGCCGGTTGGACGTACTGCCAAATTCTCTAAAACGACGGAGGCGGCTTATGGTAGAGAAATTAATATTACATTTTCTGGCAAGAGCTGGTGGACATTCCTGTAGTCAGCATGCCAATTGCACGCTCCCTCAAAACTTGAGACATCTGTGGCATTGTGTTGTGTGACAAAACTGCACATTTTAGAGTGGCCTTTTATTGTCCCCAGCACAAGGTTCACCTGTGTAATGATCATGCTGTTTAATCAGCTTCTTGATATGCCACACCTGTTAGGTGAATGGATTATATTGGCAAAGGAGAAATGCTCAGTAACTGGGATGTAAACAAATTTGTGCCCAAAATTTGAGAGAAATAAGCTTTTTGTGCGTATGGAACATTTCTGAGATATTTTATTTCAGCTCATGAAACATGGGACCAACACTTTACATGTTGCGGTTATATTTTTGTTCAGTGTAGTATGTTTCTCTGCATCCAGTGATAAGGAGGCAGTGGTAGGCTACATGCACAACATTGATATGCTGGATAAGGGGGGCACTGACAGGAGTGTAGCAGAGTTTTTGACAGGCCTGCCTGATAACATACACACAGATGTCATGCATTACTGTCATCGCATCACCAATGTAGACAACTCCAGGTAAACATTGAACTAATAACAGCTGATAATGTAGTAACCTGAATAGGAATTCATAAAATGTAATGTAATTTTCAAGAAAACACTAAATACTTCCATTTATATAATGCATTTCATCCTATAAATATATTGTAGCAATACTTGCTATATGAGCCACGTTACAATTCCCACCTAGTTGGTTAAACCTATTTGCACGATGCGTAAAATGTTTGCCTTTCACGCTAGTGACCCGGGTTCGCTACCCTACCATTCACTACATTGGTGTCAGAAGTGGGATGGCGGCCATGAGGCCATCGGAACGCACAGGCAGACGTGTGAAGGGGCTTGAAAGAAAGTCGAAGCACGGGGACGTGACTTCCCGTTCGAAAGGAGGCAGTGTAGCAATCCGTGTTATATGAGCCACGTTACAATTCCCACCAAGTGTGTTAACCCTATTGGCGCAATGTGTAGGGTGTTTGCCTTCCACGCCAGTGACCCAGGTTTGCTTCCCTGCCCTGCCGTTTGCTACAATGTTACAAAACAAAACAAAAATGGTGATCTTCACATGCTCCACAAGATGGCAGTAAGTTAATACCCTTTGGCACCTGTGTCTAAACTAAAGACCAAACACCTTGAACTTTTGGATTTATTTCGCTTTGTTCACAGAGGTCCCTCTTGGGTCATCATTGCACTAGTCAATATGCGTACAGATGTAGGATCTTAATTTGAGCTAGTTTGCTACAGCAGGAAAATAATCCTGCAGCAACAGGAAATGTGAATTATTATGTGGATTACAATTAATGGAATTTTTTTGTAGGGGTTGATACATTTTTCATTAGGGCAAATCAAGTCTGACATTTTAAAGTGGGAATTACAAACTTTAGAAGCCTTTTTAAACCTTGAATACACCACAAGTTTGCATTTCCTGCTGGGCAGGAAAATCCTCAGCAACAAAAGAGTGATCAAATGAAGATCCTACATCTGTATGGAATGATATGAAGAAGTGTGTAAGAATGGCAGTGCCAAACCGTACATACAGAATATCAACCAATAACAGAAACAGGTGTCACCCTCATCAACCTCTTATATGAAAGATCTCCCCTGAAAATATCTACTCGAATATTGAGTGAAATTAAGCCTTCCAGAAACTGGAGGACATTCTTTAAATCCTTCAAATGCACTTATTTTAAAATAACACGTTCACCTAATCTCCAGCAGATAGATTGTTTGCATCTACAACCAGGGAATATCTTTGGGGAGGGGTCTGAGTTATCTCTCGAGCTGAAGCCACATCCCAGGGGCCAGTGTTAGACGCCACTATAATAATAATAATAATAATAACAATATGCCATTTAGCAGATGCTTTTATCCAAAGCGACTTACAGTCATGTGTGCATACATTTTTACGTATGGGTGGTCCCAGGGATCGAACCCACTACCCTGGCGTTACAAGCGCCATGCTCTACCAATTGAGCTACAGAGGACCACTATAACAGAAGGAACATTGGTGAGAGTGGAGCGACAGCTGAGTGAGCAACATTTGGAGCCAGCCAGCAGCGGAGCATTGTGTCATTAATACCCCTGTCTTGTCCTCGTCCTCACAGACTAACTGCTCTCACTAGGGGGAAACAAGACGTCCCGGTGTCACCAATGGCCACACTCCCTGTGACATAATCTGTGCAATTAGGCCTGCCAGTTCACTCAGGCAGGTAGATAATGGTCTAGAGGCTGACTGGCTGCCAGCGGAATCATGATAAGACATTTCATATTCTTGTAGAGTTCCTGCTCCCCCTGGGATTTGTGTATGGGAGACCGCACTTCATCTGACCTATCTTTCCATCAAGTATACATAAATGTACTGGTTCAAATTCAGTCCACCCCTAGTCAACCACCACCTTTTTACTAAGTTCAACAAACTAGTTAAAGTACTGTGAGAATGATGATATGAACCTCTGACATCTGTCATTTCCACTGTGATCTTCACGTTGGTGAGCAGCGTGCAGCTGAGATATCTGTGATATCTGGGTTATGCGACTTCTGTTGGCAGGCTTTTATTCTTAGTGACCCTATTGTATGAACAACAGCACCACAGATCTATTGTATGAAGCTAGTGTTTTGCTGCCCATATTCAGAGGGGTCACAGGGCACAGACAACGTTCTCCTTATTTTCAGCCTGTCACAGACAGGTCAGCAAACTCCATTCTACACATACACACAGTCTCAGCCATGGTGCAGTTATGTAGCTATCATGTTGAACCAAGGACAGTTGTTCATTTAACTCCAATGAATTGCCATTGAGAATGAAATGGGTTAAATAAGCCCGATTTAGAAAGGCATTAGTGTGACAACTCAAGTAGCTACTTCTCTGTTCTTACAAATGAATTAACGATATTACTTTCACCTTTACAGAGCTTTTAGGAAAGAATCTTACAGTGAGGTCATAGCTGTTGTCTCAATTAATTCATTTTCAAATACAATACCTAATGACTTTGGGGGAGGAGGGTGGTACATAAACACAGAAAGTAATGTGGTCACTGGCCACCCAATCATATTAAATGTTCTCTTAAACAGTAATTCCATGGCTCAATACAATGACACACAGAATAATACTTGTGTCCATATGCCTTCTTCCCTCCAGGTACTTCCCTGATGAGAGGAGCGGGTGGTTATTGAAATAAAAGCTTTACCGCCTACAGTCCGAACAAGAGCACTCACGGAGAGCGTGCCCATGCCCGGCAAACCACAGAGGGCACAGATCAACAGTCACTGATTCATCAATTATAATCAGGTGTGGCACACACATAAAACATGATGACCACTCCACAGAATGTGTGAGTGAGTTATATAATCACAAGTAGACAAAGAGAAACAATGACAAAAGCGCAGGTGGACATGGACATAACTCCATCTACATGGAGTTTATCTGATAAGACATTTTTCTGTGCATAAATCTGTAAATTGTTGTCTCAGTTTTACTTCAATTCTTACAACCGACTGTCACCATAAGGCTGTTGAGAGAGAGCCATATGATCACATCTCACATTGTAGAACCTATTGTACATATCGGTAGGCCAATATGCATGAACACTAGATGGCACTACAAGGTCAAGTTAATGATGCCAACTTACTCCTCAGTCGTA